ATATTAGTGTAAACAAACCATCTATACATATTCTCTCCGTATTAGTGTAAACAAACCATCTATATATATTCTCTCTATATTAGTGTAAACAAACCATCTATACATATTCTCACTGTATTAGTGTAAACAAACCATCTATATATATTCTCTCAGTATTAGTGTAAACAAACCATCTACATATATTCTCTCCATATTAGTGTAAACAAACCATCTATACCTATTCTCACTGTATTAGTGTAAAAAACCATCTATATATATTCTCTCCATATTAATGTAAACAAACCATCTGTACATATTCTCTCTGTATTAGTGTAAACAAACCATCTATATATATTCTCCTGTATCAACGTTAACAAATCATTTTTATATAATTTCCGTGGATTACTGTAAGCAAACCATCTACATATATTCTCTCCATATTAGTGTAAACAAACCATCTATACACATTCTCTCCGTATTAGTGTAAAAACCATCTATAAATATTCTCTCTGTATTAGTGTAAACAAACCATCTATATATATTCTCGATGTATTAATGTAAACAAACCATCTATATATATATTCTCTCAGTATTAGTGTAAACAAACCATCTATATATATTCTCTCCATATTAGTGTAAACAAACCATCTATACATATTCTCACTGTATTAGTGTAAACAAACCATCTATATATATTCTCCTGTATCAACGTTAACAAATCATTTTTATATAATTTCCGTGGATTACTGTAAGCAAACCATCTACATATATTCTCTCCATATTAGTGTAAACAAACCATCTATACATATTCTCTCCGTATTAGTGTAGACAAACCATCTATATATTCTCACTGTATTAGTGTAGACAAACCATCGATATATATATATTCTCTCTGTATTAGTGTAAACAAACCATCTATATATATACATATTCTCACTGTATTAGTGTAGACAAACCATCTATGTATATTCTCACTTTATTAGTGTAAACAAACGATCTATACATATTCTCTCTGTATTAGTGTAAAAAACCATCTATACATATTCTCTCCGTATTAGTGTAAACAAACCATCTATACATATTCTCTCTGTATTAGTGTAAACAAACCATCTATACATATTCTCTCCGTATTAGTGTAAACAAACCATCTATAAATATTCTCTCTGTAGCAAACTAACCATCCATACAACTTTCTCTTTTATTAATGTGAACAAAATATCTGTGTACGTTGTCTATGTTTTAGTGCTAACAAACAATCTATACATAGTCTCTGCATTATTGAGCATGCGAAATCAGGGAAATTCAGGTTAAACCAGATAGACACAACGCAATTCGAGGCATATTTCCGCTGGTAACCCAAGAAACTAAGACATATTACATAATGACCCAACTTATAGTTTGTGCCCCTATGTTGAACATTTGTCTTGTGGTTGTCTTG